TATTTATTTATACACATATTTTTTAACTACATCATAATTAAGTGTGTTTTAAGCACTGTTTATTTTATATATAGTTGTACTTAAAACAGCAATAATCTAAATAATGTTTCTTTCATAGGGTAAAATAGGGTAAACAAATGTCAGATGATAAGCACTTGGTTGAAAATTATGACCAAGTGTAGGTGAAAGTTTTACCAAATATTTTCTTATGAATGAAAAATAAAGAAAATTGTACATTAGAAAATATGTTAATACAATTTATTACATTATGGTAGTATATACGAAACATGTATACTTATAAATCCAATTTCCATTATTCATTTTTATACAATCCTATGCCATGAGAATATGAAAAAACTTCTTTACCTTTACATGCTCATTTAAGCAATACTTATGTGTGGCTTATGGATATGGTATTTTTTCTTATTTTAGATGTTCAGATAGTCGAAGCTCTAATTACAAAAAGCCAAGAACGTCATGATACATATTTGCAGGATGTTGTAATTACCAACAACAATACATCAACTGAGGAGAAAGTTGAAATAGAACAAGCATTTCATTTGAGCTCAAACCATATTTCAAGTTCAATTATAAATAGAGAAAAGTATTTAGGAATGAGATGCAAAAAGTTCAATGTATGTTGGAATGCACTTCTACCTAGAGAGGCTGATTGGATGCATGCTGGAGAGAAATCTGATGAGGGTAATATAACTGGGAAATTGTGGAGACATCGTGAGCATCTTAATCAGCATTCCAAGATTCATGCTGAGCAGCAGGCTTTTCAATATAGTGGACAATGGAAATCCTTCAACACAGAGCCAATATTATTGGAACAGAAGAAAGTGTATATGGGAGAGACATCCTGTAAATTTGATTATGGGAAAGTCTTTCATAAGTCAGCTGTTCTTGCCCAAGAGATAATACCAGTTTCAGAGAAAGCTTTTCAGTTAGACATATGTTGGAAAAAGTTCTGTGAAAATTATGAACTCACTGAACAGCAGAAAATACACACAGAAGAGAAACCCTATAAATATAGTAAATGTGATAAATCATTCATGAAGAAATTACCCCTTACAATCCATAAGAGAACACATACAGGAGAGAAGCTATGTGTGTGTGATGAATGTGGGAAAACCTGTCACAAGTCCTCAAACCTCTGCAAGCATCAGAGAATTCACACAGGAAAGAAACCATATGCATGTAAAGAATGTAGAAAAACTTACTCCAGTAAATCATGCCTCAGTGTACATCAGGGAACTCACACAGGTGAGAAACCATATGAATGTAGTCAATGTGGACTGACCTTTCACAGGAAGTTAAACCTCACCAGACATCAGAGAATTCACACAGGTGAGAAACCATATCAATGTAGTGAATGTGGAAAAACTTTCTACCAGAAATCATGCCTCAGTGTACATAAGAGAATTCACACAGGTGAGAAACCATATGAGTGTAAGAAATGTAAGAAGGCTTTCAACCGTAAGTCACACCTCAATGTACATCAGAGAATTCACACAGGTGAGAAACCATATGAATGTAAAGAATGTAGAAAAACTTTCTCTAGTAAATCACACCTCAATGTACATCAGAGAATTCACACAGGTGAGAAACCATATGAATGTAAAGAATGTGGAAAAACTTTCTACTCTAAATCAAACCTCAGTGTACATCAGAGAATTCACATGGCTGAGAAGCCATATGTATGTAGTGAATGTGGAAAACCCTTTCACAGGAAGTCACACCTCAGCAGGCATCAGAGAATTCACACAGGTGAGAAACGATATGAGTGTAGTCAATGTGGAAAAACCTTTCACAGCAAGTCACACCTCACCAGTCATCAGAGAATTCACACAGGTGAGAAACGATATGAGTGTAGTCAATGTGGAAAAACCTTTCATGAGAAGTCAAACCTCAGCAAGCATCAGAGAATTCACACGTGAGAAACCATATGAATGTAAAGAATGTAGAAAAACTTACTCCAGTAAATCATGCCTCAG